GAAGCCCCAAGACTTGAAACACATACACACGCATGCGCAAACACATACAAACAAGCTTCTGCCATCTGGAACTCCAGCTGCCTTGAGTTTTCTGAGTTTCCCTTCCTCATCTGCTCTAACATCCCTGAGAGGCAGCTGTCCATGTTGCAGGAGAAAGCCAGGCCTCCAGGAGTGGCACACCTGGATCAGGGAAAGCTACGACAAGATGGAGCTGTCTCAGAGTTGTCACTGATTAGCCAATCCACATAGGGCTAGCGGTGTCCCTTTGTAGACAGGAGAGAAGGGCATTTTAAAGCCGGACGGTACCTACAAGAAACGGATTTAGAAATTACATGGCTACTTTAGTCCTTTTTCTCCCTAGCCTGTTAAACTCATTTCGTCCTTCAGGTATTCAGATAATTAGGTAAAAATGGTTAGGGAAGCAAAAATAACCCACTACCTACAACATAAATTTAAAAAGTATCAGAAGATCTAAAGGACTAACTTGATTCAAACATTACCTGGTTTGACAGTGCTGCTTCCAAGAGGGTATTCCCCAAATGGCCAAAGACAAGGGTGCTTCTGAGGCCCACTCACTGAACTGAGTCACACGGCTGGAAGGGCCTCCTGAGTGATGCAGAATTTTAAGGACAATGTTTTTCCTCTTGATTCTATGAACTGTCTAGGTTTTATCTAAGTCACAAACATCCCCTGGGCTTTAACTGTCGGTTGGATAGGCATCCTCACTGGGGTTGATTTGAGTGGGCACGTGTCTGTCAAGACTGACTCAAGTGTGCACAGTATCGAGGGGTGTCCCAGAGCCCAGAATGACACACTCCTCCCTCTCTCCCTTCAGCTGACTGAAAGGTGTTCTGCATGGAGATCCATGTGCAGTCAACACACAGATATCTTTAATTCTCAGCACTGGAGAACTGCCTTGCACAGGTAGTAATGGGCAGCAAGCCACAGGAGGAGCAAGTCATTTATGCCTATACTGTTGTTTGCGAAACGAAGTGAATTGGTGGCCGCTGCTGGGGGTGCTGAGGGTATGGGAGGCTGTGCTCTGCAGTTTGTGACGTCCAGGAAGGAGTTAGAACGTGGGTCAGAAATGAGGTCAGGAAAAAATACGGGTTTTGCTATTTTCTTATTTTAGGGAAGGAAACATCATCCAGAGAGAAAGGGAAGGAGACTTGGACAGAGATGGGAAGGACTGGGAAAGTAAAGAAATGTTCTAACATGACCAAACTTTCTCTCGGCGAGACCTGTAAACAGCATAATGAAATGCTAAAATCCTAACTACTGTGGTGAATTTGTTTTTTGGGGGGGGGTGGGTTCACTAATGTGTCAAAGGCTGAGCCAAAAGAGCATCTTTTCTTCATGAGAACACCATAACTCACTGCTTAGAATGGGTGCCCAAGGAGACTGGGCTTCCCTCCCACCTGCTTAAGGCAAAGCAACGTGGGGCTAAAAGGCAAAATAAAGAGCAATGAGTCACACGCTGCCCGTGATTTCCAAACTCAGCTTTCCGTTGTAGGAAACGAAGGGCATTGTTGATCAGTGTGAGCTGTGGCCTCTGTGAGAGGCCCAGATAATGGACTAATCTTTTGGGAAGGCTGAGAGACTCACGGATGGCCATGCCACAGTTCTGGGTGAGAGAACTTCAAGAGGGCTGCCATCCTCACCAATACGCCAGGTCAGGAGGAAATCCACTTTCCAGAAACTTCAAAGCATGTGCGTTATATACGGAGATCAATAAGACCATAAGAGAAATAATACATCCATCAGAAAATAACAATGATTCTTTATAAACTTGTATGGGGTCTAAATATCCCAAATATGAGTATATATTCATTACACAAAGAATCTAGAGATTCCTTCCACGTAACCGGCAGAGACCATCTCCAGAGCTTCCGGTCCCTTGAATGGCTTTCTCCAGGCTGTTTTGTGTAGAAATCCCAGCACGAGAGTGACGGTGACTCGTGTAGATTCCCCACACGTCCAGGACCTATATCATGTCCAGCTGCAAACAGGAACAACACATTCAGAAAGGAGCCAGGCCCACTTCAGTGCCCTGCTGTTCTGCTGAGAGTTTAACAGCAGCGGGTCTCTTCGCTGGCAGCGTACATGGGTGTGCACACTTACCCACCACTAACTACTTCAGGAGTTAAGCACCAAGTGTCTCCTCACCCTGATACTAAGAACTTCTCCCAGGAAGTTCGACAGTTTTCACTGGACAGCTGCCACGTGTGGCTTAAAGGCAGAAAGTTTCCACATGTGGAAGATGGATACAAAGGCCAACACTTGTTTGTGCACAACCTCCAGGCATCCAGACAGTGGACGACGGCCAGAAATCCCCAAATGCTTATCGGCCTGTTTTGTTTTCATTAAGTGAGAACATTTAAGAATTAGGCTTTTTAAAGGCTGCTTTTTATTTGTCAGCCCACGCAAACCACATGCTGTATTGCTTACTGCGGCTGAGGGCGATTTCTGCGAATTGGGACACTCTGCTACAGTGTGTCCCAAGCTCCTGAGCTCCCTGGGCCTCCAAGGAGGAGGGTTAGCTGGGCGGACAGTACACGCAGCCACCAGGCGCAGGAACCTCCTCAGGCAAGTACCTAAGTTCATCACGGTGATCAGTGACCATGTGGGGAGCTTCTGGTGTGTGAGAAGGGAAAACACACAAGAAACGAGTCTCTGATGAGAGCCTTGGTGCTGTATCTACAGGCCAGATGCCTTTGGCCACGGGGACACCCCGCATGTGTGAAAGGACTTACTAAGTCATCCACGTCGCCTTCTTCTAAGACGGCTGCTGGGTCTTCATTTGTATTTTCTTTGGGGGCCAGAAACTGTGAACATAAAGACAGTCATGACACCAAAATGACATTTCCCCTCCTCAGGTGCAGAAACAAACCTCTGGCATGGCCACAGGCCAACCTGAGAAGACCTGCTGCCCGTGGCCCACAAAAAAATCATCTCGACATTTGCTCCTTCATTTGTCTCTGGGTGAAAAGGCTAATTTGAGGTTGAACAGTCCACGCTAACTAGTCGCAGAGAAAGTTTCCTGTGTAGAGGGAGGAAAGGACGTGGCTGGCTGAGGCAGTGACCCTGTGGAGGTCCCAAGTCAGGCACTGAAGATATCTGATGTTCCCACTTGTGCTCCCAGAGCAGACATGCGGGTCATTAGGGTTAAGAAAAGAACCAAACTCCCCAAACCAGTACATCTTGGTCTCTTCTGAAGGGATCATAAGAATGAAGGGTCAGAACTTAAAGATTATGATCAGCTATTCTTCAACTCCTCTGTGGACAAAAGGAAGAACTTCTTGTAAATGATGTAAAACAAAAAGAACGGGTAAGCTTGGAGGTTGTTCAATTCCTTTTCCGGAAATCCTTCAGTGTGTGTTAGAAGCTGTTTGAAAAGAGGTGGATGAGAAGACTCCTGTGTACCCTTCTGCTCAGCAGCTACGCCCTAGACCTGGAGCTTCCAAAGGCAGATCCACAGCAAAGCCAGGGCCTGAAGAGAAGTCTGCAAGGATCTCCAAATACAACCCAGGCTTTAAAAGGGTAATAAGTATCTTGAAAATGATCTGAACACTCCTGCTCTCATCCTGTCCCTCCAAGAGGCAGCAGGTACGACTCTTTTCCTTCAAGGCTCATGGTAACCGCATCTAAGAGCTAGGTTTTATCAAGCATTTATCTATCCTAACATGAAAAGTGATTTTCTGGTAGCATAAGTACTTAAAATGGCAGCATAGAGAGGCCTGCAGGAATGAGTGCTTTTAAAAGGGGAGGTGGGAGGCAGGGCATGCATCTCCCCATAGCACTCCTCAAGGTCAGTGTGCATGGAACACCCCGTGGTGAGCAAACCCCCCAGCCCACTTCTGCTCTCCTGAAGCTGCCTCCACTCGAAAAGGAAGAATGTTGTTATACTTCCCTCACTTTTCTCATGAAAAAATGCAAGAATGGCTTTCCCTGTATGCACATTCCTGTTATTTTTATGGTGCAATGGATATAGTCGAGGTCTCTGAAACCTAAAATTTACAGACTCAAATATGTCTCTTTAACAAGTTACCCTTTAAACATTAGGTTGTGTGCAGCAAGTCTTGGGAAGCAAGTGCTGCACGTCCTTCTATTCCTCACGGGCAAAAACTCAAACACAAGGCTAACAGAGTGGCCACAGAGCAGGCTGCATGTGCAGAACAGGGCAATGTTTTTGTTAGCACTGTGGACTTGCCCATGACGCTTTGTTTTTGACACAACCTCTCTCCTGAACTTTTAATCCTCACAGCCACCACACCATTCATTCATTATCTTCTATAACTGAGAAATGAGGGATTTATATTTTTCAAAGGACATTTATAGATCTTTCCATCACCCTTTTTGACCCTAAATTGGACTGTGTTCAGTGTTAGCATCAATAGAATGAGAGACTGAAAATGCTAGCAGTAGGGGTACAGTCTGCAGCAGAGCTGTAATGCAGCTTTTGTATCATTAATTCTATTTATTTATTGTGTTTAATTATTAATAAGGACATTTGAGGGCCAAATGCAGGTAAATAAGAAATCTACATGTGAATTTACATATGGTTTATGTTGAAAGATTAAACTCTGCTCTACCCTAGAGTCCCAAATTGATCTTTATTTATGATTCTCCTAATTATTATCACTATTAAAATGATTTTTACTTTGTTTCTTTTCTCATAATCATTAACCCCATCATGATTCCCCTTGTCAGAAATACAGTGGCTAAAGGGGAAGACATCCAGGTGGGGTGAAGAGAATATAAAGTAGATCTGTTTCTTGCTGTAAATCTCTGTGTAGCCACAAATGACTGGCGCCTTCCACGCACAGACAAACTGCAGGCTGAAAGGTTCTACTGGCCACTACATCTATTACCCCTTAGTAACCTGATCCAGGTAGGTACTACTGACGAATCTAGAAAACCCCTCATGTATTCTGGCACATGCCCCTAAAAGCCCCAATTCCCATTCCATCCCTACCTGCGAAGCCCCTTTCACACTGCAATTACACGATAAATAAGGCAGGGCTGTCTGCACAGGACTGTGGTCTATGTAATTAAGCACAAATGGCACATCTCTGAGACTAGGCCAAATTTCTAGGAAGAGAGGAACAGCGGCAAACAAACTTTCATTTCTATCCAGAGCTGAGCATCTGCAGCTGATTTTCCTGATAGATTTGCTCAACATTTCCGCGTAAGCAAATTATAGCTAAGAGCTGGGCTGCCGTCCATTATCCTTCCCAAAGCCCCAGGCGAGGCTGATCTTACACATATCACTCCTCCTCATCAGAGGTTTTAACTGCCAGTAATTTCCAGGCTGCATGGTGGCAGGGAGGCAAGGGAGAGAGCAGAGAATTCAAGGCTGGGCCTGCTTTCTCAATAGAAGCAACAGATTCTCTGAAGGCAGCAGAAAGGGGTAGGAGCCAACTCTCATCTCTTCTTGTGCTCTTTCTTCCTGCAAGATGCTGAAAAGGTAGAAAATAAATAGAAGGGCATGTGCGTGATGCACTTCTCCTACCTCAGACCACCATCATTCACTCAGGACTACCAAGAAAGAGCCTCCTTCGTTGGAGATCTTTAGGGAATGGATAAACTATTACTTTCCAAGTACACGGAAATACAATCCTAGCTCCCAGCAGAGAAATGGAATTGACAGCCTGTGTAGGAATTTCCAGTCCTATCCCTCCACAGAACTAGAAACTGTCAACTTCTGCTCAGACCCTTAATACTCCCCAAATTAAAGACACATGGCTTCCACTGGGCTGATTCCAACACCATCATGTGATTCCAAAAACCACCATAATCTAGATGTATAAAAACATCAGGAAGAATGAAAGGCCACTTGTGTGTATTTTGTCTAAAATGACATACATTCCAGTTTCATTAATGCCTCCTCTAGCTTATTTCATGCTATAAAGGCACTACAGTGCAGCCAAGAAATCCTGCAGCCTAGTGCGGGGAACAGAGCCACAGCCTTAGCTCCCAGATCCTCAGCATCCCTGGGCCAGCACCTAACCGTTCTATAACCATTTTCCTCAAAAATAAAATGGGAATACCACTACTTACCCTCTCTACCTCACGGGGGTGTAGTGAGTCTCAGATGAAATAAAGTATGCAAAATGCTCTTTGGTATTAAAGGTTTTATGTTTCAATTCCCAGAAATATACCCAACATATGTCCACCAAATAATATGTATAACAACAGCCCCAGCATTTTTATTTATAACTGTCAATCAAATGGTCATCATCAGGAGACTGGATGAATAAATTGTGTTATAACTATAAAAGAGACTACTACATAGCTATAATAAAGAATGAACAACTCTTAACAACATGGATGAATCATAAAAGGCATGATTCCAATTATAAGAAGGTTAAGAACAGGCAAAACTCGTCGCAAGGGACAGATGTCGGAACAGTGGTTACTTCAGGGACAGGGGAGTTCTGACTGAAAAGGTACCAAGGAGCCTTCTGGGGTGACAGAAATGTTATATATTTTTATCTGATTGGTGGGCACCAAGGTATATGAATGTGTAAGAATTCATCAGGTTGCACATTTAAGATTTGTGTATTTGCTGTACGTACATTCCATCTCAATAAAAAATTAAAAACTGTATCTTGCAAGTATCAAGCTCAAAACAAACCTAAGGTAACACCGTGACATTTTCATTATTGCTTTGCTTTTACTAGCACACAGAGCAGCTACACCAGAGATGAAGGCACAAAAGGAAAGTGGAAAGAGCCAAGGAAAATATCATGGGGCCCAACAGGGGCAAGCGCTTAGAGACAACTGTTTTCAGGAAACAATTTTTAAATTCTGATCTTACAATCAGCCCTTCACAAGACTCTGGAGACCTTTTACACACTCACACACAAACTGGTGCACTCCTGAAGGAGGCAATGTGAGCCTCTTTTCTGTATGTAGATGTGGAGGAGGCATTCTAAGGCAGAGGCGTGAGAATGGCGCCTCAGTGGTGGTGGAAAGGGGACTGCAGTTCAGGGGTCTGGATTCTAGTCAGTCCTGCTAGCCACGAACTGTAAGTCAACTTCACCTCTCTAAACAGCATCTGTAAAATAACCAGATCACTAAGCTCTGGGGTAAAAGTAGGTTCACAGTTGTGAGTACTTGAAACACAGTTTATTCTTGTATCATTATTAATTATTGTGTTATTTTCCATACTAATAACTGTAAACCTACTTTTGCCCCACCCTGTATAATGCTAAAGTGGGAAATCAATAAATGTCTACAACAGCAGAGAAAGTTAAATTAGGCAGCTACAAGAAAAACAAGTGCTAAAAAGATGATCCCCCTTACCCCCCATAGAGCTTGTATCAAATGACTATTTAGACTAGCTCAGCCTCTTTCAATCCCAAGAGAAATAATACTCCAAAAACCATGGGGATTAACCCTCTTTCCCCTCTCTGTTCTTAATGTGGAGTAAAAAGAATGGTCCTACAATTGGATTACTGGACAGATCATTTTATTTCTCAAGACCCTAAATTTCTTCATCTATAAAATAAGGAGTTGGCACAAGATCACTATTTCTCAGGTTCTGTCCCCTGGGCACAGGTGCTCTCGATCTGCCACTCCCACTGCCGATCACCTGAGGAGCACCACCTCGTAAGCTTTCAGTTTTAAAAATAAAAACTCGGCTAAGAGATCATTAGGATTCTCTCCAGCTGGACAAAATTTTATACAACATAAGCCAATGTCCTTTGCCTTAGTTAAGAATCTGGCTTGTTTGGAGTCTTCTAATCCAGGGCCTCTTGAACATTGTCATTATCAACATTTTGGGCCAGACAATCTGTTGTGGGGCTGTCCTGTGCACTGTCAGATGCTTCAAAACATCCCTGACCTCAACCCACTAGGAGTCAGTAGCACGCTCCCTGTTGTGACCACTATAAGTGTCTCTAGACTGACAAGTGTCCCCTGGGGAGCAAAATCTCCTGGTTGAGAGCCACTGTTCTTAACCCTAACACAGGTTAGCGAGAAGAAACTTGAAAAAGATAAAGAAGATAAATTTCAAGCCTATCCTGACCTTTCACAAGTCACTGACTTACTGACTGTGGATTGGGGCAAAGGGTCTCCCAGCTGCTCCCAGAAGGCGCCAGGATAAACAGCCACATCTTCTACCCACCACCATGCCTACAGAATAAAGTGACAGAGGAAGGGCACACTGAGCTGCACAAAGACAACCAAACATCAAGGATCAATGGTGCCCTGGCCAGTGTGGAGCAGTTGGTTGAGCATCGTCGCATGCACCAAGAGGTTGCGGTTCAGGAGGTCAGGGCACATGCCCCGGTTGTGGGCTCAATCCCCAGCAGGAGGCGTCCAGGAGGCAGCCGATTGATGTATCTCTCTCATGTTCATGTTTCTCTCTCTCTCCCTCTCTAAAATCAATAAAAAAAGAAAAGGGGGAAAAAAAAAGTCAATGGTATGTCTAAGAATAACAACCAGAAATGGAAAAAGTTAATTGAAAGAATTGACAGGTTATAATGACAAAAAAAAATGAATGTAAAAGCGGTAATATTTATGTCAAGGCTTCAAAATGCAATGAGAGGTATCGGAGCAGTTAAAAGAAAGTGACTGCCTGTATCTAAATTTATGCCATGAGGGAACTTTCTATTTCTGCAGCAGAGCTGACTTATCTATATTTCTCAGAGAATCAAAACATCCACACATTTCTAGAATACACTGGGGAAATGGTTCTCCTTCAGATGTGCAAGTGTAAAGTTAGGATTTAATTTTCATTTAAAATGGACATCCCTGGGTAATTATTTCCTCTCAAGTCATCAACACTCGACAGCAAGCATCTGACAGCTTGCCAACTTTAAATAATCTGTAAATATCTTAAAAGGGTTTAAGTGCACTGTGAGGATGGTTCTTCAATCTCTCTGATTATAGTCAAGTTTCCTTAACTGATTATTTGAGAAGTGACCAAATTTAACACTTGTTTTAAAAGCAATGTAAATGACTATTTTAGTGCACAAAGTGATCACGCTTCCTAACCTAGCTAAGAAATAGTGAAGCAGGTCTCTCCTATCAACACCACAAGAACCAGCTGCCATGAGCCAGTAATTCAGTAATTCTCAGTAATTCTCCCTGCTATCATCCATAAATGCCCTCTCCCGTCTACAGTTCCCTCCAAACACCAACAGGTGCAACTCAAAAACGTTTCTAATACATAGGATTAAATCTTCACCCTGAAAAACAAAATGAAGGTTCACGTGACACTGAAGCTAGACGCAGAAGCGTAACCTCCCAAGTCAGATAAGCCAGTGTGCGCATGGGAGTCAGACACTGGGTTCTACTCTACTGTCTACTGTGTTCTCTCTCCAAAGATGAAGTTTTCAGAACTGTCTTAAATTACAGCCAACTGAAATCAGTTTTGTTGATATTAGAATCATGTAAGGACACCACCCCAGACATAGTCATTAACTGAAATTCCTCTCTATAGCTTAACTGTCAGACATCAAAATTCCTGATGGGTAGGCTCTGTGTCCTTAAATTACACGACATCTCATGTGCAACAGGGAACAAACCCTGGACAATTTGCAAGAAGCATATTATCCTCTTTCAGGTTTCTTTCCTTTTTAATGCACTGGATTCACTTAGCTGTCACACCTCTGGGAGGAAAACTACCTTTTAGATCACTGTTTCCCTCTTCCTCCAAAAACTGTAATATGTACTCAACTCGCACCTATTTTAATGTAATAGTGACTAAAATTAAAGTGTTTGTGTCAACTTATTTTATTTGTTTAGCAAAAACTGACTGATAAGCCTTCACCCTCTGTGGTGGTTAATTTTAAGTGTCCACTTACGGAGGCCATGGTACCCAGCTGCTGCGTCAAACATGGATCTAGATGGTGCTCTGACTGTATTCCGCAGATGTGGTTAACATTTACAATCAGCTGGCTTTAAGTAAAGGTTCCTTCAATAATGTTGGTAGGCCTTATCCAATCAGTTAAATTCTTCTTTAAGACTGTAAATAGAAATCCTGCCTAAGTTTCCAGCTTGTTGGTGTCCAACAAGTTTCAGATCTGCCAGCCTCCACAATCCTGTGAGCCAATCCCTTAAAATAAATCAGTCTCCTCCGCACCACACAGTCTACTGGTTCTGTCTCTCTGCAGAGCCTTGAATGATATAACCCAGTTCAAGGGGGAAATACTATTACGCCATTGTATAAAGTAACAGGCAGAAATAAAACGCAGCAGCTAAATTACACTATCGCACGTACTGGCAGACTCACAGTACTGATTATGGCAGAGAGGGTGCAGGCACTGCAGAACCCCTTCTGAGGCAATAATCAAAAGGCTTTTGCCAAGCAAAATGCTTAATAAAAATTCCTGCATATTCAGACTAACTACTCTCCCAAACAATATTATAGTTTCTGCCAAATGGCTCTATAAAAATTCAAGGCATTTAAAATTTTGAATTTAGCCATAAGATGAACATTTCTAGCCTTGTTCCTGCCATTCCCGTAACAGATTCCTCCCTGCCACCCCAGACCAAGCTTTCCCTTCACATGCTCATGTGCACAGTATTTCTTCAGTCTCACTGCCTCCTTCTGCTACCTGGGAACTGATCATTTGAGTTTCTAGAGGACAGGGATGCTATCTTACCACCCAGCACCATGTCTAGCAGACAGCAGAGGATTAGTACACAACTGCCAGCGGCCAGGCGCTGTGCTAGCAGGACTGGGCCAACCAGTGACTGAAACTGAGGATGAATGCTATGAACCACATACTTAAATTAAATGTGCTGGGGTGACACTAGTTATGAGCCATATACTTTTAAGCTGTTCAACTTAATTTCATTAAAATTTCACCAAAAACCTAGGCATAATGAAGGGTTATGGAGCAACACAGCCATATTTTTTGACATAGAGCCACACACAGCAAAGATTCAGTACCCACACACCAAACAAGGAGACCTTGGCCTAACTATTTGTGTTGATACAACGCTCCTGGGGTCTCATACATGGTTTTTTTTTACTTACTGAAAACACCAAGATGTGCCTTATGCTAAACACCAGTGTTTTGCTACCTTGCTGCACATCACAATTTGAATTACAAATTCAAAACTGTGCCTAGGTTCCATCTCAGACAAAATGTACCTTGGGGAGGGGTCTGGTCATCCATATTTTTTGTAAAAAATAGCTCCCCAGGTAGACCAATGTGTGGCCCGGGTGGGAGTCATAGGGCTACATGGATCTTATAGCCTTTACTGGGGTCTAGGCTAACTTTTGTGTGCACTATGGACTTCAGGAGCTTAGAGCTACTGGAGCTGGGATCACAGGCGAGTTGTAGACACATTACCACAGTCTACAAAAACTGAGTGAGATTATAATTTCTCCCACAAGGATGCTGCAGCTGAGGGAATTTGCCTGTTGGCTGAATAAAAATGGGTACACTATATTTAGTTACCCTTAAAATGTAACTTCTTCAAGCAAAAACGGGTAGCAAGAAAATAATATACTCTACAATGATTGATCTAAAGACAGGGAGTTATCAATACCTTTTTGGCTTCCTCAGTTGTGACAGAGCTTCCAGAGGCTTCATCTTTGGTGATCAGAGTAATTCCATCTAAAAAGTAATTCAGAGAGTAAAATCCAAGTACAGAATCAACCCCAATCCCACCTTCCTTTCCACTACACCTCCTCCCATTTAGTAATGGAGAGTCTTTAAACTATGATGGTGCTCTTCTCTATAAGAAATATAAAACTACAAAGGCACTTGATTCACATTGTTCCTCCCATCTTACATTATCCCTTCTCCCATTTTTGCTTGTGTAAAATAAAGGCCACATCTCAAATGCTCCATGAAGGCTTCCTTGCTTAAATCCAGATAGAAATAATCTCTTCTTTAGAATTCTCAGTTCACTTTGTTCCTGCCTTTGAAATGGCTCTCATCATACCTCACCCTGTATAACTATTTGTATAAATTTTCTCTCTCCTGCCCGGCCAGGTGTGGCTCAGCAGTTGAGCATCGACCTAGGATCCAGGAGATCGAGGTTCGATTCCCACTTGGGGCACATGCCCGGGTTGCGGGCTCCATCCCCAGTGGGGATGTGCAGCAGGCAGCCAATCAGTGACTCTCTCATCACTGATGTTTCTATCTCTCTCTCCTTCTCCCTTCCTCTCTCTGAGATCCATAAAGATATATTTAAAAAAAAATTCTCTCTCCTAATGGGACTGCACACTTTTCCCTAGGGCATGTTTATTCACCTTTACATACCCCTCAATGTAGTATCCAGCAGAAGGTCAGTAAATGATAACTTAATGACCGTATACTTTGGTCCAAACTCATTAGGTACCCAATATGGGAATCTACAGATATTTTGACTTACAGTAGCGTTACTGGCTGTTGATGAAGGGACCAGAAGGCTAAGGTCAGGAGGAAATATGCTCTTTCAACGGCACGTCTATCATTTAGCACAGTACATCAATTTTAGCTCAGTGAGAGCAAACCAAGGATAGAAAAATCTACCCTTTACTTTTCTTGTCTTCCTAAGATTTTCTCCTGCCTCAAATGGATGATGCATGAAATACTTTCAGAAAAGCACATGCATTTAACATCCATTTGTACCTAGAAGTGGCACAAGTCATGTGTATTCTCTCAATAGGATATAAGCGCTCAAAAATATGTATCTTGTGTATGTCCTGCAAGCTTCTTTTCAGCAGACAATATGCTGGAGGCATTCAATAAATACCAAAACCAATCTCCTTCACCTACCGGGTCGGCAGCAGAGACACAAGAGGGATTTGAGGAAGCCCCATTCACCACCTATTCTAATTGCTTTTGCTCCTCAGTGCAGAAGTTAAAGGGCTGAGAAATGAACTGTCAGGGAAATGGTTGGCTGTGTGATGAAAAGCTGCCCGTTAAAGCTGGATAGATGTAACTCCTTCACACAGAAATGCACATAAAGCCAGGCTGAAAATAATTCTGAGGACCTATTTCAAGTGAAAGGTTTCATACTTTTCAACATCATTGTTTTTAAAATATGTATTTTTAATAGGTAATAGCTTGTACTTGGGTTCTGGAAGAAAAAAAAAAAGTTGGCTTAAAAAAAAATGGGCAAAGGGCATGAAGAAAATGAACCATCAAGCTTAAAAAAAGTGTTATGTTGCCTTCTTTCTAGGTTTAATTTGCATTGGCCACTGTGAATAAGCGAGGAACCGAGTGGCCAAATTTGGTGCATGAAGATGCTGGCCTGCTGATATGAAAATCCCAGCAACAGGGTCATGAAGGTAGCAGGTGAGGTCAATGAAAGGGCCGTGGGTCCAGCAGGACTCAAAGTATCTAAGAATCTGAGGAAGGGGGCAGTTTTGCCCTCACAGCTTCTTTCACCCAATAGAAAGGCACAATCTTGGAAATGGGTGAGGCTGCATATAGTCATGTGAGACTATATGTTCACTTACTATTTATCACTTTGTATTTAGGCTTATTAAATAATATTTTTAGTTCATTGAATCCCGAGCAATTCCCAATCCACATCGAAAGTCATCACACAATACAATTTATATTTAGAAAAAAATAGCATAAATATTTGGAGAAAATGATAGCTTACCCTGAATGACGATTTCCCAGAAATGATTTAATTGTTTAATTTCCACTTTCTCTCGAAGGGCTTTCAGGAAATTGTTAAAGCGCTGTTCTTCTGAAAACTGGGGGGGCAAGTCAGAGCAAATGTAAGAATAGTCATCCCCAGACCAAAGTACTATATATACTGAATCCATCATTCATAACATATATATATAGTCGTTATGTATATATTAATATACATACATATTTTTTATTTTTAGTATATATATAGTTCTTTGGTAAATGGAAGACTGTTATTTCCAATTTCAGCTTTGTTTGCTGGGAACCTGAGATCTTTCCACCTGTGGAAGGTTCAAAACTTCCCAGAGCCACACAGCCTTTTGCTGGCCTGGTGCTTTGTTTTTTAACTTTTAATATAGACATTCAAACAAAAAGAGAGAATAATTCATTGAACGCTCATGTACCCATCACCCAGCTTCAGCAATTGGCTTGGCCATCTTGTTTCATCTATGCCCCCACCTTCTCCCACAATTCTGTTTTGAAGCAAATGTCTATCATACTTTCATCTATAAGAATCTAAAATAGAAATTTAAAAAAATACTCATAAAATTTAACAATAATTCCTTAATAGGAGCAAATAACCAGTCAGTATTCACATTTCCCCAACTGTTGCATAAAACATTTCTTTAAAAAATATTTACAGTTAAAAACACCTTTGCATTAAGATTGACACCATTCTAAAGTATCTTTGATTCTCCTCCATCTCTTTTTTATTTTTCCTTTCTTTCTTTTTTTTCCCCTAAAGAAATCTGTCTTCCAGTACTGTTAAGGACAAGTGGTGGCAGGAGTGCACAGAAATGTCACCAGACACCATTTGGCCAGGGGGAGCGGTGTTACTTAAAAGCTGTACTTCTTCACCTAACCAAATCTTTCTCCACCTGACTGAGTACCCTGTCTCCTCTAGACTCTACTTTTCCAAAATTTTGTCTTTTATCTGTAGGGCATTTGGGTCACCTACTACTGAATCTCATATTCTATTCTAATTTTAACCATTTTCCCATTTCTTATTCTTTGCAAGTATCTAAACTATTCAAGAGTTATACTGCTCATTCATTCAGCAAATATTAATAAGCGCCCATATAAGAACTACAACTGTGGCTACTTTAAAACATATTTTCTAATTTAAACTTGCTTACTCTTGCCTAGAGATTACATATAATAGTCTAGAAATAATTTGGAAGATTTTTTGAAGTGTTTTATAAACATTTCTAATAAAATACACCTCCAACAAAAAAACCCACACAAAAGGTAGGACAGAGGTACTAATTAATTTTCAGTGTCCTTTTCCCCCTGGCATTCAAATCCCTACTCCTGTCTTCATAAAAATCCTTCTCAATAAGTATGCTAATATATATTTCCCATCAATATCCTTAAAATAGTTAGCCCATCCTTTATAATAATGAGTGGATCACCAAAAGTTACAATGGAAATTTCCTTGTTTGCCCAATACAGCCAGGGCTATAGTGTAAAAAACCACTAACTCCCGGGGATAGAACATTCCACTCATCCACCCACCCATCTTTCCTCCCCCTCAGAAATGACACTGATAGTAGGATGAGTGAGTCATCTCCACTTCTCTTGGCATACATTGCTATTCACAGTGAGAATGATCCCTCCCAAAGCCTAGGCTTATTTGTGGGTGCTGCGTGTGTCTCCCCTGCGATGATGGGCAACAGTTTAGGATGAGGAGACAGGCGAGGAGAGCATTACCTGAATGGCTTCTTCCCGGAAGACCTTGATGCAGTCCATGCTCTTCATAAAATATGGTGTTTCGTTAGTATCCAAAAACTGTTCAATGTGGTTTATTAGCTGGCAACTTGCTGGAACACAAGACAATAATTTTGTTTTTCTCTAAGTGATGCATGTTAGAGAGAATATATCCTTCTGTGTGCCTTTAAGTATGTTACGGTTCAGGAGTCTCATGGTCAGTACGCACAATACTTCTTTTCCGGGGCGGCGGGGGATGGTGGTTTGCGGCAGGGATGAGATGCAAAATGCTGATTCCAAAAGTCTCTATTTGAAAAGTCTGGGTAGTACTTACTGATATTTTTCAAGAAATAAAATTTAATTTCTAAAATGCTTAGAATTATAGCTAAATGTTCCATCTGAGATTTCAAATACTAAGTTGTTGTTTTTTTAAAAAATTGTTGTTTCTGCTTTTTATTTCCCTTTCCCCAGAATTTAGGGGCCATTGGGGTAATCCAAAACTGTCTTTCCTGATATATTCATACAAGATAGGTCCTCCAGTCCCTCCCCTAATTCCACTTAAGATAAATGTCAAATAGTGCAAGACAGTGAAAAATGAGGCAGGGACACCCCATCTTCTACCAATCCCAGGTCAAATTAGAAAAGACCAGCCTCATCTTAACCTAATAACATCCTTTAGAATGGGAAGTCATTGCTATATATCTTCTGCCCTCAGCTGAACCCAAATAATCTCTATGTTGCTCAGCACTCTATAAGCCATAATAAATACTTAATAAACAGTAACTGTCAGCCAGCAATGTCATAAATGCTACAGAAAGAGAAAATACATTAATGATGTTATCACTTCCAAGGCAGACTGCAACTTGGGGCTGCCTTATAAACAAACAATTCTTCAGTATAAAAGCAGAGAAAAATAGAAACATAACGTCATCAGGGAACTTAAGTTGCTGAGCAGATAAAAACCCACCCTTATGATCTGTGTAGAAGAATAAACCAAGGAGACATGCACCTTCACGGCCTAAAGGCTCACTCTCACTTGCCCCCTGAAACCACTCCCTAGCTGGCTATTCAGGGATTTATGTTAAATGGTCAAAATACTCTAAGACTGCGTGTTTGCCATGATCATGGCCTCATCTGAGCACTCTGACAGTTATGAACATGTGCATACAATACTAATGCAAACTACTTTCAAGGATCGCCTATAAGGGCCACTACCTGAATCAAAGTGACCTGAGCACTGCTTAATGCCTTATGAAAGACAGGAAACTTGGTGCCACCCATTTGTTTCCTAAGGCTCTTACATCATGTGGAAAGGATTAAAAACTGGACAAAGTATTTTCTAATACAAAAATTTCGCAGCAAGAGATAATATGCCCAGTAACCATTTCATCTCTTCTACCAGCTAGGAAATTATGATCTCCGTTATAATACAGTACTTAACAAACTTGAGGGACTAAAGAAACGCTTCCCTGCAATTTCAGAAGAAACCTTTACGAATGTATCCTGCAGCAGTAAATGAACATCCAACAATTCAAAGGAGAGAAAGAATGCTCGGATGGGTCTTTTTATACAAGGTAAACAATACAACCCTGATTAGCAGGCACAGCAGACAACCATCAACAGGAGCTCAAAGCAACACAAGCTATCTCCCTTTCACAGCTTGGGAAGGTGAAGTAAACAAACGTTTGATAGCTCCTGTACCACTTACAGCAGCCTCCTTTATCAGATAGTTTGATATAAAGTTCATTCAGTTATATATCTGGGCACAAATAAGAGCCTTTATAGGTCAATGGCAGTAATCTCTGATTCCAAGTTTCTCATTTCTTTTGAATGAGTATGAGGGATTTTTCAAGCTATAATGTAAACATTCCTCTATGCTTGATTTAGTGATCATTTTCATTAATTTAACCTGGTACGTATTTATTGTGTAAATGCTATGTATAAGACACTATGCTGTGTTCTGTGGAAGATTTAATTAAGTTGAAGACAGGATTCCTGCTTTTGAGGGGTTCACACTCCAATAAAGGATATAGCACACATACACAAAAGGTGTAAACGTGAAGAGTGCTACGGGAATACAGCAACTGATCTGAGTTTTTAAAAATATCTGGTGATTATAAGAAAGCTTCATGAATTAACATGTTTTTTTAGCTGGGCAATGAAAAATAAAATGTAGCCGTCATATAGCAGAAAACAGAGTGAGTAAAAGTCGAAAGAACAGAGGTGGGGAAGCCCGTGCTATGTTTGAAGAAAACAAATGGTCCCCATATGTATATGGGGTCCACGGACAGGAGTACAGGGACAAACAAGAGGAATAAGAACTGGACAGGGCCCTGGCTGGGTGGCTCAGTGGCTGGAGCATCGACCTGTACACCAAAAGGTGGTAGGTTTGATTCCCAGTCAGGGTATGTGTGGGAGGCAACCAATCGATGTTTCTCTCACATCCATGTTCTCTCCCCCTCTCCCCACTCCTTTCCTCTAAGATCAATTTAAAAAAAAAGAGAGAATCAGACAGGAAGAGGTTGGAAGGAAGGGAGTACCAAAAAGAAAACAACATGCGTGAGAGTCCTGAGGCAGGACAGAGCTTGGCTCTTCGGAATGTGTGGGAAATAAGGGGTTCAAGATGGAGTCTCTAAGGAACTACAGCATTTAGAGGCCGGAAAGAGGAACGGGAGCTGATGAAGGGGCTAAGAGAAAATAGTCAGGGAGGTAGATGAAAACCAGGAGGCTACGGTGTCACAGACACTAAGAGAAGAGTTGTCTGCTGTGTCATGAAGTATTACTTAAGTAATGTTACTTACTATGATAACACAGACTGCGAGGAAAAGGGTATAAAGAACAGAAGGGATTAAGGACTGAAACTTACTGAGTCCTTAGATCCAGGAGTCTACGCAGCAACTAAATAGGTACTGAATCGCTGTGCAAAAACAGCTTTCTGACCCATTTTATCTTGAAACATGATGGAACACACACGCAGCTGCCATCTTACGGAGAAAAATATTCAAAAGAGACTAAAATAAAGCAAATGTAAAAGCCAACAACCCATTTGCCAATAATGATAGGGGAAAGAAGGAATTCAAAGAAAAGGAAGTAGGAACGTCAATACCGTTTCTATTTAAGAATGAAGTCCTTATGTATCTATCTGTGGGCATACTCGGATTCAGTTTTGTTATTTACATATTAGACTGTTCTATGCTTTCCTCCAGAAGGTTCAGGAACACAGATGAACACAGCCAAACTTCCAACAGACCCAGTGAACACAAAGTACCAGATTTTGCCCTTCTAGGAACAATCAGTTACTTAGTCTATGTATCTGACCCATGATTCTGAATTCTGTCCGTCTCCCTAGACTATTCTGTGGTTCACTGACTATATCGAATCATTTGACACTAGTGAAAGGCTGTTATGAATGATGCTTTAATATACTGAGTATAAGAATGGGATGTGGACAAGAGAGTTCCCTTCCCAAATATGGTGGCACTTCATACTTTCCTGCCACTTTAAATAAAAGTATAATACAGAAGAGGCTGACAAAAATATTTTTCCTCGGCTAGATTATGCTTTTGACTTCCCCTTCCTCCCCATCTCACATAAAGGAAATGCTGATCATCAGGGTGCTTTCTCTGCTTCTACATCAATCATAGGGCTAAAGAAGGGCCTGCCAGTTTTCATACTCAGTAAATCACATCCCCAATTACAATTCACCAAAATGTTTTTCAAAATTAGTCAAAGGCTCAGTAATATTCATTAACAGCTAATATAAAAAGTGGCCATTGCAAGGGCCATCTGTCTTAGGACAAAGGGCGGCCATTTATCTCAATGACTTCAACATCAAAATGTCAATTCTGAATTTCAAAAATGTCTGTCCTGGACTTTGAGGTTTTAAGTATGGGCATTATATATTAACCCAGCATCTTACATGAGTACAGACTGTTGATACACAAAATCATTCTCAAAACAATAATACTTTAGTGTTATATTAAGATGCCACCCAGATTCAGAAGGGTTATGTAAGAGGAAAATGGCAGTCTCTTGTTTAATCTGAAATGCATGTTCTCCCTCTCTAGGAGACCAGAAATTACTGAATCTTTAACCCAGGAAATTTAATGCAGGCAACTGCTACACAGGTGATGAAAAGCTGTAATGCTGACTGAGAATGGTGCCTCAACCCAGAGATTAGGAACAGCGAGAAGCCCGCAGCACCCCTTAGCAGTGTGTGGAAGAGAAGAGAAAGAAAAAAGAAAGAGGGGTGTACCTAGGACTCAGGGACCTGGTACTATGGGAGCCAAAACCATGGGGGCTGAAGATGCTGCCCAGCACATAAGGGAGCAAGAGAAATACCCTGGCTCCTCCCTCCCTCCTTACTTCCCACAAATCTCCCACCAGGGTCTTCCATTGGTGGAACCCAGTAGGAAACCAGCAGATGTGGAAGCCTGGGAAATGCAACCTGCTCTGCCCCACCCCGCCCCACAGACCCAGGGCACAGGGAAGGGTGAGGAGTGGATCTAGGGGCTAGAGGCACAATGTGTTATTATAAACCCACAGAGGTGGATGCCCATTTTATGCACTGGATATTTCCAGGAGATAGACACTAACAAGGTATTCTTTAAATATAAGGGAAGATAAAATGTATAGATTTTTTTTCTTTCCAGAGGTAGAATACAATGAAATTCAGTAAGTTATTGAGAAGGTTCACAAGCATATTTGAAGCTTTTCCCAGCCATTTAAACATTTTTAAAAACTGTACTTCTACAAAAACAGTTATGTAAAAAGTATGATTTTTCACTTCTACCTGGAAGTTTCCCTTTCCTTCAGCTTTGACATGTGAAACACACACTGCGTGGACAGTGACGATAAACAGAGGAACTGGAAATGACAGAATCTTCCCATGGTATTTGTGCCCCTTTGGAAGTCAAATGTATTATTTCTTCTAAAAATTTAAGTACAGAAAGAAGGTATCCTAAATATTTTTCCTCTAAATGACAAAAGACATGCTGATTTATATCTTAAATATCCATTCTGCTTCCACTTCCAAAAGAGTTCAGATCTGAGATCCCAGAAAGAGTTTGCCCTGAATGTCTGTGCTCCTCAGTCTGGTATTCTTGTTTTTAGC